GCCTCGCCCAGACATTAAGCTTCTCAAGGTTTGTGTCATTTAATGAAATATTAGACAACCAGTTTTCTTTCTCATTTTTGTTTAAGTGTGTTCAAAAATGCAATGCCTTAACAGAAAATTGCTCAAACGTAGTAATTCACCAAATCAAGTAGAAAATTTTTTAGGAAAACCCTTTCTTTGCTTCATCTAAGCCACCAGAATATGTGAGTTTCGTAAGCAACGCGAGGCTGCTCATACGAGCCATCACCAAAGGAGATCTTAAAGAGATACGCAGAATCATGAAACCCGATTGCAGGTATGAGTAACTCATGGAGTTGGATAGATGTGTTTCACATTTCATGGATAGTCTCTTCTGATCATTGAACATAAATTTCAAATTCTTCAACCTTAACTTAACATCCACTTAACACCTCAGCAAATTATACACCAGTTTTACCTAAGCTATAAGGACACTGTTGAGAGACTCCTAGGTTCCAAAGGTCTTGAAGTGATGAGTTTTCCTAATATATTTAAATCTTGTAAGCAACTTATGTCAAAATTTCCCAATTCATTTCGTATTTCTTGTATCTGGGTATGATCGGAACACAACTCCTTTCAAGGAAAGAAGAGAAGAAATGTCCTCCCTAAACAATTTTAGGCATATTGACGTACCTTCATGCCAGCTGAAATTTTCTTATGGAGACGCCCGCACAGCGGATAACACAGCACTTCTATGCAAAACCGATGCAGTTCGACAAGAGTATTTTAAACTCAGATCTCAGTTGAAAACTGGAAAGTTAGCACACAAGGAACCAAATCTCTTGCAGAGGGTGAAAACTAGTTGATTTTATAAGAATAAACTTTGAATGTGAATAATCAACTTTCAGAAGACCACTGGTCAGTCGAACTTTTATATGCTGGGACGTGCGACTCGAGCAGTGGAGATGACCCGAGGTATGCTATAAAACCAGTGCATTTTGCTGCCCACTTCTATACAAGTCACTACATAGGTGGACGAGAGGGAAACAATGCTTTTTTGAAGTTTGAACCTGAAACTGAACGCATTTCGCCAGGAGAGTTACTCATAGGAGATGGTATGAGCTACAAAGACATTGTGAAGTTGTCAAAGGAAGCGAACGTTAGCTCTGGTGAGATTGCGGTCTTACAAAAAGCTAAAACATTGCATAAATGTTTTCTTCTCTTAGCCATCAATATTAACGTACAGTACATGGACAATATGGTTGTGGTAGCTACAAGGCTAGGTCTTCTTGATGTGGCTAGCGCATTTGCAGAAGGACCTGCGAGATCAAATTTGAACGATTTGCATAGAGAGACGCTAAAGCAAGTTGCTTTTGAAGGATACAACCTGTTGATTCTTACTTCTTCATCATTTTTTAAACTTAAAAAAAAACCTCTTTTTCAGACGCAATCCTGCGCTACCCGAACGAATTCTTCCGGTATCTGTACTCAAGAAAGGATATAACAATGCTAATATTACACCACTGCACACAGCTGCTATCAATCCTAATGTGAAGGTATGTTATGTACCTGTTGGTTGTACCTGTCTTTTATGC